ATGTTGCTTCTCGTGTCAAATATTGATATGCGATTAATTGAGATTAATTAATTACAAAGCCTCTAATTAATTAGATTAATTTTTTTAATCGAGTCCCACCACTAATATTCATACATTAATATCGGAACATAAAGTCCTTTCTAAGTCCTAACTAATTAACTACTAGCTAGTTTCAAGCTAACCCCATTAAAACCTAAGAATTGTGTTAGCTAGTAATAAGTCGTGTAAATCGGTAGCACTGTCCGATGAGGAGCAATCAACAATGTAAACAGGAAATCACTGCAGCGCAAGCTAGCCTTAGCTAGTTTAGCATGAGTGGGAAATATCAGATTATGCCAACCTGATGTCATTTATCCATTTAGTCAAATGTTAATGGAATACCATTTTGTAATTTGAGGTATGTTGAGATTTTTGGGGGAAATGTAACTAAAATCTTCAAGATTGAAATCATTATTAAACAGAATTCCTCAAATTTCAGGTCAGATATGTCTTCTTTTACTCTCCCTCTAAACGAGTCAGAAATTAGCAAGCTAACGTTTAGCTTGGTCTGTTGGTTCTGTTAGCAACACAGCCATTACACTGTACAACAGGTTCATCAGCCACAACCACCACCATTTTAATGTCATTATCACGCTCCTCAAAATTGTCTTATCAACGGCCAAATGCTGAAAATTGAAATAACTGCTTAAAGGACCAGTGTGTAAGATTTAATGGCATCTAGAGGTGACATTGCAGATTGCATCTAACTGAACACCGCTCATGTTTGTACTTGGTACTTGACCTTGGAATGAAAACAGGCGGTGTAGGAGTTTCTACGGTGGCTGTGAAACTTGCAAAAAGTGCAAAAGGCCCTATCTACAGCCAGTGTTTGTAAATCCTGGCTACTGTAGAAACATGGCGGTTCAACATGGCGGACTCTGTAGAAGAGGACCCCGTTCTCTCTGTAGATAAAAACAGCTCATTCTATAGTAACAAAAACACAAGGATTCTTCTACACTAATGAAAACATACCTATGAATATTATATTCCATTTTTTCCTATAGATCCTCCTAAATGTATTACACACTGGACCTTAAAGATTTTAAGTGCAACAGTATAAAGTAAACACCAAAAGTAAAGACAGCCGAAGTGGGAAACTGTCCCCAAGATATACAGATATAAAGTGCATTGTGAGGACAAAACCAGACTGCAGGAGGTGCTAGTGGAGGGTGACTTTAGTCCTGCAGAGACTCTTGTGACCCCTCATAGTGTTCGGCTCTTTCCTCAAGGCAATGATTGCTGTCCTGAGACTGACACAGAGAGGAGAGGAGGTGTTAGATAAAGATGGTCTGTTTAGATCCACAGGGTGGCAGCAGAGGCCTTTCATGAATGATTTAAACAAAGAACTTGCTCTGAAAACTTTTTTCATTATTTTATAGTATTAGGTTTAAAGGGTTATTTTCAGATTTTTCATTTTGATTTACAGACATCAAACGCTGGAATATGATTCCAGATCAGCTTCAAACTTGCACACAGACTCTCATTATTTTTCCCATTCCATTATCTTTTTATTGTAATTTTATAGTTTTATTGGATGCATGTGCTGGTGTTTACATCCTGATGTGTGCTCGTAGGTTCCTCTGTGTAACTGTTAGTTAGTATGATAGAGACTATGTAATGGTGTTGCATGTTTTTAGTGTCTGAGCATTGTTCTGTCTCATTATTCTGTGTGCCCCTGCTCAGAATATAGCTAAATCTGGCAAAAATAATCTCTTCATTTTGAGATTCAGTTTTTTTGTGCATTAAAATACAGACTGCCGAAATGATGAAGCTGTGGCTACTCACACTGAGGAAGGAGTGAGACGAGGAAGAGGACGATGATGAAGATTGCACCGAGACTCGTCCAGGCGGGGCACTAACCTTCACCCTCTCAGACAGCCATCTTTTCAATTTTAGACCTTTGAGAGATTTTTAAGGATTTTAAAATACTTGACACTTCAACTAATTCATTAGTTCCCAACAGGGAACTATTTATAGAAGTTTTTTAATGAAAATATTATCAGTAGACAATAGTAAATCAATTAAGATGATCTTAAAAAAAAGGGGGGAAAAAATTATATTTACACATTTTACTCTGATACAGATAAAAAGTACTGTACCAGATACTAATTTCAGCCGAGTACTCACTCAACTCTAATAATAGTGATAACAGTGTTTAATATTTATACACACTTACTGTGCCTCTTGGAGTGGTGCACAGCCTTGTAAGAGCCAAGCATGGCAAACGGATGATAGGATAGAGTAAAGGGATAGACGATTGCACCCTAGGGTTGAAAAGCAGTAGAATTAACTTATTATTATTATAACAATATGGAAGACACAAAACCAATGGCAGCTACATCTACAAATATGTGCAAAAGAATTATATACATACTGTAGTGTTACATATTAGTCTTGTACTTGTACCTTGGATTGCTGGTTGGTGTATGAAGCAGCTGGTTTACACCGGTACAGAGCCAAGATTTCCTCCACTGGGAGGCTATTCTGAAGTGGGAAAATGGTGCAAAAGTTAGCAAACAAAAAAAACAAAACTTCATAGCAGTTTGACCATTACAGCACACACATTATGCTACCTGCGTGAGGTAAACCTCGATTTGGGGATTTTAAAGCAGCAACAAGGAACTTTCATTTTGTGTTGATTCTGGCGGCCCCTGTGGACCAAACCGGTAATGTTTCTAACACCTTGTTTCATTGATTTCAAGGGGAATCTGACCGAATCCGACCTAGTGGCAGGCATTGAGAACAAATGTATGAATAATAATAATAATAATAATAATAATAATATCGTCTTGCTGATGAGCTAAAACCTCCATGTAAAATAAGTAAGGCGGAAAAGTAAAGCAAGGCTCTACAATTCTACTACTCCCTTCTGCTAATTTTTTCTCAAATTTAAACCCAGTCTAGACCCATGCATACAGCATTAACATCTAAAATGCAGCCTCAATTAAAAGATTAATAAATTAAAACACACAGTGGAGTAAAACGGATACCCTAGCTGAGCTGGTACCCATATTAAACCTTACTGGGACATCAAGATTTAATAAAAGCTACATTCATGTTTAAACCACACTCACCATAATTATCCCAGCAAAGGACGACAGAATCATAGCCTCCCGTTCTAAGCGGTTAGGGTACCGGGCACTTCCTGCGCTGTGTGTTGCTCCACTTTCCGGTAGAGAGGATAGAAGTTTTAAAACAAGTACAGATGCAGTAGGAAAATAGTGGATTAAACATTTCAAAGCTAGAATCTCATTTCAGTTACCACTACCTAGACAGGTCATCTAGAGGTTTAGAGAGGAACCTTTTCCACCAACAGGGAACCAGCTCCATTCTGGTTCAAGCTCCTAGGTTTTGAACCGTTTGGAGCATTTCAACCAAAAATAAATCATATAGAACCTGACAAGTTAAATTAAAGGCAACCTTTCCTTGGGAACCAAAGTGGGTGTGTCATATTGTATGGATCATTGTGCAGTGCCCTCTGTTGATCCTTGATTACAATGGTTCCACTCAAAACTGCTGGCAAAGAGCACTACGGTCTATTGCCCATCTCATTCAGTTTTTGGTCACAATGTCACACACATCCATAAAGGGCAATATGTCCCTGAAAATATGTGGATGATTTGACCTGCTAAGACAGGATTTATACACTGTTAGTACTTACAGGTCTGCCATTTGTTTCTCAATTAGATCAGAGGTGCCAATCCAGAAAACTCCTCAAAAATGACTCAGATAGTTAGAGGCCGAAAGTAACAAAGGGATTATACCACAGTCTCTACTATTCGACTGAAAAGTAGGTTTTGGACGCTTTAGATCATGATCTTCATCTCAAATCATCAGATCACCCACCCAGATCACCCAATTGGTGCCTGTGGAACCCTCTTCTCTTGATGGAAGGATCAGTACAAGTGGACCAAGCCCACATATTCAGAAGTTAAAATCAAGGAAACTGGGCTTCAGTATTGATTCTTGTTGTCTTGATTGTTTCTCTGTGTATCTTGGAGTTAATCTTGAAGGTTTGGGTAAAATCTGTTTAATCTTCTGAAGATTTTATGGCTGTAAGTAAAGAAAACTGTTATCAAATGCTGAAGGACAGAACAGAGCTAGTTCCTTGTTGGTGAAAAAGGCCTATCAGTGCTGAAATATAGCATATTTATGTATTGCTTTAAACAATTTAACCTCTTATTTTTAGCAGCAGAAATATTCTAAATGCAATGATAAGCACAGCATTATACACACATTTCTCCTCAGTTCAGCCTGATACTGTATAATTTGTTCCTTTCAACAGGTTAAATTTAAAACCACTACTACTGCAATTTAAGACCTATTTCAGTTTTTGGTATTGGTTCTATGTTGGTTTTGTAGTTGTTATGATCAATACACTTTTTTTTCCATAAAAGTGAGACAGAAAGATTTAACTTAACCTAATGTTAACTTCAGCAGTGTTCAGCTTGTTTCAATCTGCAACTTCACCACCAGATGCCACAAAATCCTACAAATTGATCCTTTAAGGCTTGAAATCCAGATTATTGGATTTTAAACTCTTTAAGACCCTGTAGATACATTGTTTGAAATAAGACTGTTAAATGTCCAAAATAATAATAACTTCAGTCTTCAGTCTCTATAAATATAAGCAGCTTACATGATGTCTCTGTCGAGCATATCCCGTCCCTCTTCTTTGTCCAACCACCAAAGGGCAACACTAATGGCAAGGTCATAGTGAGCCTGTAACATGCACACAAATAAAATATACAGCAATACCACACTGAAGTACCTGTTGCAACTATGAGTTGATTCATTTTGTAAAATATTTTGTTTGCACAGCCCTGCCCCTTAACGCTGGGTCTTCTACGGAGTCACAATGAGCTTTTACCAGGTCATCCAGCATCGTGGAGGTCCCCTTCCCCTTTGGATCAAAAGACTTTTCTCTGAGTTTCTGCCCAATGTAATCACCACTGTTCAGATTATAAAAATCAATCAGTTGCCATTTTAAAATATATAGTGCTTATCAACTATCTCTGGCATTTTAACATTCACTCACATAAGGGCTTCAACATCTCTTTTCAGCTGCCTTGCCTCCATTTTCTGAAAGAATTCCTTTCATGCAGCACTCCTGAAAAGGAGGAAAACACCAATATATTTTTCTCCATTACGAGGCAGGAAGCAGGCTATGACTGAGTAAAGTGGAAATCCAGTGAAAACAACCAATGTACTGGTGGCAATATAGGCTGTAATAAGGGGTTAACTTGACACCTTCTTAAGCCCACACACAGAGTTAGCAACAAATGCAGTGAGACCAGTAATTCCTAACACCTTAAAAATACATTCTCAATAACTAATGGTAAAACAGAGTGAAACAAATCCAAAACTCCATTTCTCCTGTGCAGTAACATTTTATTGGCAATCAGTGGCATATTTAAAACCAATTCAGCACGCAAGCATCTGTACTCACCACACAGTTCTGTACGAAGAGCCAACACAGCTTACAGGCCTTCAGTTTACATGATGATGCAAAAACAATGTTGGCTGCAGTCACACTACACTGAATCTGGTAACCTTTCTGGGCAACACGAGCCCTTTGCGGACCAGACTTCTCAGGTGAACAGCATGGATTGAATAATTTATGACCAACCTCCTGTCAATCTCTAAAACCATTACCAGCCACACGACGCTGGGAAATAAATGGAACGGTAGTTATTTATGGAAGTAGATGAGAGATGTAAGTATTGTGTGCACTAAAAAAAATATACTCAAATTCAATCTGAATTTGAATATATTTTTTTGGAAATTTTAATTTCAAAGAAGATTTTAAATAAATAAATTCAGACACTTGCTTTTCAAAGTATAATATTTCAATGTTATGAAAGTGGTGTTTAAATGTCAATATTAATTATTTAATGGCTGTGTAAATGTACTTATGTCTCTTATTTACTTCCACAGTTGTCAGAACAAACAGATTAGTTTCAGCGTTCAATGTGCATTCTGTACGGGCACACAGAGACATCTAGTCTACAAAATATGGTTGTGAGGAAATACTTCTTTAAAGAAAACAACTTAAAATAAACCATGTAAAGAAAATAACCATGTAAAGAAAATAAAAATAAAAAATAAATAATAATGATCAGTCAGCCAAAATTGATTTTTCCATATTTGGGTTGGCCAAAGCCTTCTTCTGCCTCTTCTTCTTCTTGCCGTCCTTAAACACCGGAGAGCTCAGAAACATGCTGTCGGTGAATTTATCTCCACGCCTTATTTTGCTGTTGTAAACAAAAACAAAGTTTATTACTCACTGCTGTTTGCGGACATAATCAATACTTTACCAAGGGTTGTGACAGACAGGATTTCCTCACCTGTTGAGGGCAGGCTCCTTGTAACTGACCACACCGTGTCGTCTCCTGGTTCTCCCTCTGGTCTCACTGTCTGGGGTTGCAATGGTGTTGGTCAGTGATGTTAGGACTCTTCCTGCTGTAGCACACAATAAATCAAAGTTAAGTTGCCAATAAACCAATTTAGGCTTTTTTGGTAACAAATCTGGTCCCAACAGAGGAACAAACAGGAGTTTTTATTTTGTTTAGTTTTTACTGGTTATAAAACAATGTCAGTTTAATATGGATGCCTCTATAAAACCATCATCAAGAAGAGATTTCTATAAAAGTTTTTCTTAGCACTGGAATTTCTGCCACCGCGTCGGATTCCCCTTGAAATAAGACCAAACGAGGCAGTAGAAACATTACCGCTTTTGTCTGGGATTTTGTCCCGGAATCAACACGTAATGAAAGTTAACAAGGGTATAAAATCAACAGCGCATCATCACCTTCAAGAATCTGTGTTTCTGTTACACTTGGTTATACACAGTCCATGCTGTCAACACTGTTTTATAAACTGTCACTGTTAAAATAAATTCCTTGGATTGGATTGGGGTGAGATGAATATCTCAGTTAATACAACCAGAACAATCTGTGGGCTAAATCCTGGGTATTCAACCTCAATACTGTTTGGGTTTTAACTGAAATGTGTCCATAGAGCAGAATATCAAAAACTGTCGAGTACCACAAGCTGGCATTGAATGTCTGGTCAGACATTGTAATGTGAATCTTAATCAGGTTGCAGCTATTCGACTGTCAAAGGCAAAATCTAACTTCAGTGAACAGCTTTTGCCCTCAAGATAAACGGCCGGTCACTGCAGACCAACAACCCTCAAGTGAAAAAAGTGACATGAGAAGAAATGCTCGAGTTTGAATGTGTATCACGGTAGACATTTCATCTTTAAAAATAGACACTGTAATGGATTCCACACCTGGAGAGGCTTCAGATGTGACAGCAGCAGATTCCTCAATGCCTGCCGCCCTTCCTGATGTCACCCTCTTGGGAGTAGCAAGTAATGAGCCCGCTTCGGTGTCCGCAGTGCTGGTGTCGATGGCCAGCCACGGAGGCATCTCGTCCGTCAGCAGGTCTCCCACAGTCTGATGTACTGTCGCGCTTGTGTCAGTCATGTGACTGTAGGCGTTTGCCACATTAGATGTCCGCGGGGCGTTTAGTGAAACACTGTCTTGAGTTGTTTGTGTGTGGACAACAAATGTCTCCCTTGGATTTCTAGTTTCCGTTGGTGTGTGCAGCTTGGATGTCTTTCTACACCTTTTTGGATTCCAGTCCATCCTGGACTCGCTGAGTTCAGAATCATACAAATGTTCAAAGATGTCATCCTTCTTCCTGATGTCAGAATGTGAGTCAACCACTTGCAAATCATCTAACTGTTCTTTATTTCTTTCATGATCATGAACGCGGTCCCCAAGACACCAGGTTTCATCCTCAGATCTAAATCCTTTGTCGCTATGGCTCCTTTTTTTCTTCTTTTTCCTGTCATTTAAATGATCGACACACTCCTTCCTCGACACAGCTTTCTTCTTGCTGGATCGACTTGTTTCCTCTCTCCTGGCTTTCTTAGGTTTCTGAAACTCTGTTCCTGAATGGCAGTCCTGGTCCAGCAGCAGTACCTCGTGGTTATCGTTGCTACTCAAATCGTCTTGAGGGCTTCCGCAATCCTGAGCGGCCAGCCAAGGACGCTTACAGGAGCTTGGCATTTCCTCCACAAAGAGTCCATCAGTGTGCCTGTGCGGATTTGATTCTGAACACTGCCGAGTGACACTTGCGCCCGTTACAGTTACCGGTTCTTCTGCCTTGCAGTTGGGGGATCCTGGAGGAGGCGTTAAGTCTACGAAATCCACCTCTGGTGACGCTCTGTTTGATGAGGCGCTGTCGCGGGACACTGAGATAACAAACGTCCCTCTGCATCTTGGATTGTGACTTTCCCCAGTCTTCATTTTGCTCTGTGCTTCATTGCCCACATGTTCTTCTTCCGCTTCATTACGAACGTCTTCCAGTTCAGACCGACTGCTCTCACTTTCATGCAATGGCAAAGGCAAAACAACAAAAGTTTTCCTGGTAACCGAGGACACCCTCCTTCCTTTGGTCCTGGACCTCCTGCATGTGATTTTGGACCTTGCTTCTTCTGTGGTTTCTTTCTCTAATAGTAATCTGACACTTTCACTGGTTTTTGAGGGTTTAATTTTAGGATCCATGAAATAATCGTCCAGCTCTTGTGAGACAATGTCACATGACTTAGTCTGTTCACGGAATTTGAATTTGTCCTTTACCTTTTTCTTACAGTTGCCTGCTTCCGACTTGCCCAGTTTGGGAATGCGAGACGTAATGACACTTTGTGTTTTGGAAAACTGAAACTCATTAACCTCGGGGTCTCCAATATCCTCTGGTACAGGGTCATCTGTCTGTAACAAAGTGCCAGTGGAAGCACTCTGAACCTCACTCACTTTCTTCTTTGTTAGTGGATTTTCATTCTCGCTTGACCCACAGGCTTGTTCCTTATTTTTCTTGCCTTTCGGCTTGCCAGTGCGACCTGCTTTTTTGGCCTTGGTTTCCACAACGACTATTTCAGCTGCATTGCTTACCGTCATCTCCATTGTTGTATTCAGAAGCACAGTCTTTTCTTGTTTGTTACCATGTTCTGGCTCAGTTTCCATGACTAAGCTGCCTGGAAGCTGAGCATCGTTAGAAAGAGACGGCTTGTGTTTTTCACATGTGCTTACAACTGAGGGGGTTTGGCTGTTTTGAACACAGGGAACTGACTTAACATCAAACACAGATTGAGAGAACATCATTGACAGCCTCTCTACTTCATCCCTTAGGCTGCTGGACGGACGGGATGTTCCTGTCTGGGGAGAATGTATATGCGGCATCTCAGCATCTGTGAAAATGAAGTGAAATAAACAAATGACTATGTCCAGGGGACTCTATATCAGTATCTAAGGCCAGTTAATGGCAAATTACAAAGATTTTATGATGATTAACACCAAAAATTCTAAAGCTCCCTACCATTACAAGTATCCATTAAGTTATCGGGTCTGTTCTGGATATTGAAGACATTTGCACAGATGTTTTTTTCAGGCAAGTCCGTGCCTACTTTTTGGGGAGAAGAATGTAACTGATCTGTAACACTAATAGTGGGAGTTATGGAGGGGATTAGGGAAAAGCAAGAGAGAGAAAGAAACAACAAATTCACAGTTATTCACAGCTGCCTAAACCAACAAACAGTTCTTAGTCAAAGTGCATATTAACCTGAATACAGTATTTGCTCACCTTCCTGCTACAAGATTTTCTTCGTTGATGCTTTCAGATAAGGTCTTGTCTTCCTCAGATAGTTTGGGAAGATCCTGAGGGAAATAAAACAGTCACAGATTATGTCTGGTATAGTTTGATAGTGCTAAGCGTTTTCTATTAAAGCTGCAACAATTAGTCAAATAGCTTTCAACTATCACATTAATCACTAATTCTTTTGATAATCAATTAACTGTTTTAAGTCATTTTTTAAGAAAAAATTTTATATTCTCTAATCTCAGTTTATTAAACATTATTTTTTTTCTGGTTTGTGACAGTAAACTGAATATCTTTTAATTAAGGATGTCACCTTGAGCTTTGGGAAACAATCAACATTTTCCACAATTTTTTAACATTTTATGGACCAAACAACTAATCAATTAATCAAAAAAATGAT